GTCTCATCCGTAGTATCTGCTGTGTTACATCGTTTATTGTTCCATGGTTTTTGTGCCAGGGACTGTGCCGACCACCCTATGTGCACACCACCCTTGATTTTCACAATGACCCTGTGAACGTAGACACCATTCTCATCCCAGTGCACAGAGACAGAAGCAGAAGCCAAAGGGAGGTCCCGCCACTAGACTGGCGGAATAGAATTTGAACCCTCACCTTCCTTGCTGTCACCCACACCCCTCTTATGCCCCAGTTGTAATGGAGATGATGGCTGTGAGGGTGAAGGGCTGGCTGGTTGCTGAAGGACCACGCAGAATGCACTGTAATTCCAAGGAGATTGGATTTACAGAGCATAGTCCTCTATCACAAGGAGTCTGTGTGATCGGCTTCTAATGTGTGCACTTGCCATTTGGTGGTTCTTTTATGAGATTCCCAGAGACTGGACATTGCAGGGGACACAACGCTCTAGAAGACACCATCTTTTTCCTGAAGAAACTTAAATACAGTGGGACCAAGGCACGTATCTGCATAGCTTCCTTTAGGCCTGATGTGATGTAGAAAAACATCCTCCTCCAACCGTGAAAGCCACCCCAGAGATGAGTAAGGCAGGGCAGGTGGGATAGAGCTGTGACTCAGTAGATCCTGGCTTCTGCAGATCTGACGACATCCCTGCTCACTCACTGCCTGGGAGCTAGTCAATGTGGAGGGGTATAGTTAGGCTGTCTTATGGGGACCTGCTTGGCTGCCATGGAATCAAGACCAGAAGAAAGATGTCCTATTTGAGCTCCCAGGCTACGCCTGAAACATCTCACCCCCAAAGTCACAGAGCGCCTGTGGAATCCGAGAAAACTAGTGGGCCAACCTGGACCCTGCAGGGATCTGTAGTCAGAACAGTCACCTACAGGTAGCTGCTACAGTCAGTTTCACTGGTTATCTAAGAGAAAGAGGAAAGGTTACTTTTAAGTCCCATACCCATTGGACTTCATAATTACCCGCACACGGTCTTCATCCTGAGCAGCTCTGGTGATGGAGTGAGTTGCTCACGGAGCTGCTACCTACAAAGTTAGCAGTTTGAATCCACCACTCACTTCCATAGAGAAAGACGAGGTTGTCTGCTTCCATAAAGATGTAAAGTCTCAGAAACCCAAAGGAGCAGTTCATCTCTGTCCGGGAGGCTCAGTGTGAGCAGATGGCAGTACGTTTGCTGGCTTTTAGGTTTTCATCCTTTGCCAAACAAGCAGAAGAGGAGATTTCATGTCCTTGCCTTTCCTGAGCTGGCTTTCTTGGCCTTTTCTGAGCCGTCTTCCTTGGGAGATAGCTGGGATTTTTGCGGTTGCACTACAGGTAGAACCATACCATTCTGACCTCCTCTCCCTGTGGTGAAGATAGCTATAATAAGCCACTGCTCCCGTGCTTGCCAAGAGCTATTGGGCCTGGGCAAAACCTCCCTCTTCACGTGTTCTCTAAAGTCTAGAGCTTTACTCCTGGTTAGAAGTCGAGTCTCTGGCCTCACCTGTGTCCAGGTGAGTCTCTGCCCTGGGGGTTCTCTAGCTGTCCTAGTTGAACGGGTCAGGCACTCACGGTGCTTGAAGGCCAGACCCGCAGTGCTTACGCCTGGAGCCCAGACCTACTGAATGAGGTCCCTTCTGAGAGAGTTCCCAACACCAGGGACTGGGCATCCGCATTTATGAACAGCGTCCCAAAGCTGTTAATAGTTTAAATACCATGAGGCTACAAGGAGCCCTGCTGACACATGCGTGGCTTAGCAGGGTTGTGAACTGAAGTCGCGCTGCCCATCACCCCTCATCTCCCTACTCTGCTTCCTTCCATTGTGGCAGTCTCTCTGCTCAAAAAACCTTCCACCCGACCTTCTCGCTCGCTGGGCTAGGCGTGGCTCTTCCCACGGCTCCACTATTTCCATGCTTTTTTATTATTATTTTTTTATTGGTGGCTCATACAGTTCTTATCACAGTCCATGCATACATACACCCATTTTATCAAGCACATATGTACATTTGTTGCCCTCATTCTCAAAACATTTGCCTTCTACTTTAGCCCTTAGTATCCATTGCTCATTTCCCCCCTCCCTCCCCACTCTCCACTCCCTCATGAACCCTTCCTAATTCATAAATTATTATAGTTTTGTCATAAGTTACACTGTTCAACGTCTCCCTCTGCCCTCTTCTCTGCTGTTCATCCCCCAGGGAGGAGGCTATACTTAGATTCTTGTAATTGGTTCCCCCCTTCTACCCCACATTCCCTTCACCCTCCAGGCATCGACCCTCTCACCACTGGTCCTGAGGTAGTCATCTATCCTGGATTCCCTGTGTTTCCAGTTGCTATCTGTACATCCTCTGGTCTAGCCAGATTTGCAAGGCAGAATTGGGATCATGATAGTGGGGGGGAGGA